AGGTGTGTTAAGGATACTGTAAGCCATTAGAAGGTCACCTCTAAGACGCCTATACTCTAATGCGTAAAGGTCAAGTGATTGCAGGCGCTCATCGTAAGGTCGAGCTTACTCATTTGAAATTATGTTCCGCTTCCTTGTTAGTACTGTACTAATAATTGACCTTATCGTAAAATTGCAGATATGTCATGATGTAATTACTTGATCTGTGGAGTCTTACGTGTTAGTCACATCGTTTTCTAAAGTGACTTTTCATATCGTAAAATTAAAAATATGATTTTTCTGGAGCACACATTCGGGCTGAAGATAGAATATTATATTTAAAGTGAATAAAGACATCTCATCCAGAATAAACACTTCTGCAAGATTGAGCCTTGCCATCCGATTAATTTGATAAATATTCCCGGCTTCGACATTGTTGGCCTTATACTGTCCATATTAGAGGCAATAGGGTTCGAAATCCCCTAGCTACAACCTTACGTAGTGGGCCGTGGTCTGACTGTCACCCCAAGGTCCTTGTGAGACCGAATCACGGATACATGCATTTCCCCTATATTGTATCTACTTAACTTTTTATTACCAAAGTACATATAGACACACACTGTCATGATGATAGGCATAAACCGCTCTTTAAATCAGCCAATTACAGTATTAAAGTCTGCCTGAAGTGCACATTAGGCTACGTTTCCTGTTATTTCTCTCCAGATTCTCACGTAATCTGGGTATGGCAGCATTGGCGACTCAACAATACTTGGGAGTCCATTTACATACATTGCAAAAGTAAAGGACTTTGGACAGAGTCTTCAGGTACACCACTAAATATTGGTTTCCAGGTCAAGCACATGGAATTTATTCTTACTTTATGTCTACAACCAACCAGGAATTCCTACAGCCGTTTAGTGAGAGGTCAGTCTTCAGTAAAACGGATAGTGGGTTGGTAAGCCTGTGTTAAACCTGACAGAGCGCCTTCCAGTGAAGGTCCAGATTCTTGAAAATATTCACTGATGGGGCTGATACCACTTGTTCGGGTAAGGCGTCCCAGTCATTGACTACTCAACGAAAAAAACGGGACCTCACTTTAACTTCATTAAATCTCTGTTTGTGAACCTTTTTGCTATGACCTCGGAGATTATTAGTGCTGGAGGGAGCAAAAAGATTAGACATATTGACACCCAAATCATAATTGAAGATACGAAATGCCAGTACAAAGTCACCACGCGTCCTACGATATGACAAGGGGAAAAGGTTTAGGCGTTTTAAGCGCTCATCGTAAGGGGGTTTAGAAATACCCCCTACTAATCTTTTTCCCACACGCTTAAGCGAGTTAATATCCTTTATCAGATATGGGCTAACTGCTTCGATGCAGTACTCTAAGTGTGGTCTTACATAAGTGAGATATAAGGTTCGAGACATTTCCTCGTCAAAGCGTTTGAGTGCTCGGCGAAGTGGCAATGACGCGCAAAAACCGTTAACAGCAGCTGCGTTGCAATGCGTAGTTGTTTTCAAGTTATGACTCATTGTTACTCCTAAATCTTCATGTTCTAGAACGCGTGGAAGAGATGTACCATCAACAGTATAATTGTAACTATTACTGTGTCCAATATGCATGAGCACACTCTTCCTAGAATTTTAACTAATTCATCTAAGTCAGTTTGGAGATCCAAATGATCAAGCTCACTTCTTATTGCTCTCCAGATTTTACGTCATCCGCAAACAATAGTGTCGACGACTTAAGCAACGGCGGTAATTCATTAACATAGAGCAGGAGAATTAGAGAGCCTAAGATAGTGCCTTGAGATACACCACTTTGACCGGCTTCCATTCGGATAGCATTGCATTGACGCTCACTCTGTCTGCGGTCACATAAGAAGTTACCTATCCATTCTTGTACAGCACCTATTATTCCAAAGCTCGAGAGCTTCTGTATAAGAACTAAGTGTGACAGCTTGTCAAATGCTTTGCTAAAATCTATGAATGTCACATCGACAGACAGACCGTTATCTAAGGCTGCTGTCCAATCCTCTCTCGCAATAAGTAAGTTATTCAAGCACGAACGCTTGTTACGAAGCATATGTAGCTCAGAAGTTAACAGATTGTGTGAATCTATGTGACTTAGTAACTTAACCCAAACTATCTTTTCAAGTAACTTAACGACTATGCTAGTTAAACTGACAGGTCGGTAGTTTGATACCATATGCCTCTGACCATCCTTAAATGTAGGACTGACCATAGCGTCTTTCGAATCTCTAGGAAGTTGGGCTAGGGAAAGGGACATGTTGAAGAGTGGCGCGAGAGGTCTTGAGATAATGTCCGCAAGAGGTGACAGCAGTCCTGGATGTAACCCGTCAGGGCCTGGCGTCTCATAAGGTTCGAGGTTAGTTATCAATGGAATAACTTTTTCCTCAGTCACATGTACAGATCCTATTGCTGGTATCTCGGTGTGATTGGGACAGGTATTTGTAATAATACATATGGAGTAGACTTCGCTGAAACAGTTGGAAAGAGTCTCAGCTTTTGCCTGATCTGATTCAGCTAGTAAATCTGAATTTTCGTGCAACAGTAACGGGGGAATACCATCACTACATTATGTTCTCCGTTTAAAATACGTAAACAGTCGTTTCGAACAAGTAAAGCTATCATATGCCAACTGTCGTTCATAAGTAGTACAGGATCTAGCTATGGTCTTTTTACATATATTCCGGATTTTTTTATATTCACACTTAAATGATGCGTGTCCTGTTGACAAGAATAAGTTCCAGAAGTGTTTCCTACGCTTCAACAGCTTCCGGGTTTCCTTATTCATCCATGGTGGACAATGTGTTAGCTTACGTGTTGACCATGGGATAAACGGTGATGTTGCGAACTGGAATGTAGTCTTAAACTTATTCCGTTCGTCTTCGATCGATCCATCCACGTCAACTGACCAGTCAGTCGACATAGCACAGTCTGTGATTGCCGGAATATTAGCTCGCCAGATGTCGGGACGGGGTGGAGCAGATACAAATTGTATACAATGTGTCCTATACTTAAGGTACAGTACAACGTGACCAATATTCACTGGTGGGGGAGGTGCTGTGAGGACAAGGTGCAGCAATGACGGGTCATGTTTCAAGTCAATATGTGTCGGTTTCGCAATACATTGTACAAGTGCACACTGAATAGTGGTTGATAGAATGTCGCTATTGAAACCCTCACCTGAAGCTGTAAGCATTATACAGTTGATATGCGGTGCGTTGAAGTCTCCAATGATGACACGACATTCTGCTTTACTCGAAAAACAGATGTGTTTAAAGATAAAGTCGTCAGCAAGACAACACGGACTGCGGTATATTCCTCCCATAGTCACTAACTCGTTTCTGGACTTAATCGTGCAACATGCTACCTCACGTGTACTACTAACATGCACCTCCGATTTGGTTAATTGTATACGAAAGTGATCCCTAACGTATAATATTATGCCTCCTCCCTTGCGACTTAAAACTCTATCACTTCTAATACAGATGTAACCTGCAATGATGGAAGAAAAGTCGATATCTACGGTGAGTCAAGTTTTTGTGACGACAATTATATCGAGACTTATTTCATCCACCATCAAACTAAGCTCGGACGTTTTATTTCGAAGACTACGGGCGTTCGTGTAGCACACTTTTAATGTGCTTTGGGAATCATTCGTTCTACCCACACAGGTCTCGGAAGCATTGGCTTCCACGACCTGACTACCCGAAAACCCTTAATCACAAGGTTCGTTTCGCCATTTCGCTTTCGAATTCTTAACTCCGTAAGAGCATTCTTCCACTTGATTCGATTCTCATGCGGCCAATCTGGTCGGATACGAATACCTGAATCACGAGTTTTGTGTTCGTTATTCAATATTATGTCTCTTTCCTCAAAATCCCCGAGTACCAACTTCAAGATCCTTCTTGGTTGGGTCTCACCTCCAACCCATTTACCGAGTCGTATTACCTTCGTGATGTGTACCCCTGAAACCTCTTCAGGCAGTACATTTCCGATCACAGATCCCATTAACTGCAGATTGTGTGCATGTCTTTTAGCAGGGTCGTTGTCTATTGACTCCTCTAGGTTCCAGGTAGTCATACTAGGAAGGGGTGTAACTTCTTTGAAAATCGTGTTCACGAACTTCGACCGTGATGTCAGATCGTGCATATTGACTGCTGGCATCTCACCGTTAGTTTTCTTTGTAACAGAGTCATGGGAGTCGAGCGAATGACTCACAACAATGTTTGATGAGGTCTTACTTTGGGACTTTGATGGAATAGTTTTGGCTATCTTTCCTAATCTTCTACGTTTCCGCGTCATCCATTTTCCACTAATCGCAACATTTACATTGGAACTACTCGGGACGCTAATGGTTTTGTCAGGATCGTCATTCGCTGCTGCAGCAACTTTGCCACCAATATTTAACGGTATACCGCTGATTAATTGTTTCGGGGTTGAAAGCACAATTTTTTGTTTCACAGTTGGGTGTCCGGCAGGCGCTGTGACAGCACTCACGACACTGACGCAATCTTCGCCATCAGTACCAGAACAACCACTATCTTTCTTCTTACAGGTCAAAGCTAATAGGCTCATAGCCTCCTGGATTAGTAGCGTTTCATTTGCACAGTAAAACATGCAAAACCAATGCGTTAGGCTTCGAGCATCTTTGGTATGCGGTGGGACTTAAACGGGTACACATCTTATGGAACCACTTTTTACACTCATAGCACTGTATTCCTTCAGACACTGGGAACGAACAGTACAACGGACCATTGTAATCAGATTGACAATGTTTAAAACACAATATGAACACAAGCATCAGTCAACGAGAAATAAGGTACCACAAGACAAAGTTTAGCAAGATTTTAAACCTTGATCGAAATACTTCAAGTTGAAGTGGATCAGAAATGATTTTAATGCAACAAGTACACAAAACCGAGTATAATCACAACATGAAAATAATCACTGCCATGATCTTCTAGATTCAAGTGCAGTCTGTTGGCTGACAACTTTCAAATACATATATTTAACGTTTCAATTTTATACTAAAAATATATGAGTCAGATAATTTCGTATTAACTCTTTTAGGCAATTTTGTCGTACCATGTGCTGCCCTTATTTGTTTAAGTGTATTTTTGATGAAAATTTGGTTAAGGAAGAGGGAGTTCTAGTTAACTGGTTCGCGTTTCGTTTTCAGGAATGGCAACTTTGGGTACTGGTATGCGGTGTCTTAAAAGCTGTGTATTCGTTCTGAACATCATCTGTCTGGTATAGAAAGCTGATTTTAATCGCTCCTAATTCTAGTTATGTTCCCTGGTATTGATCGGGGCTGGTGCTTATGTAGAAGTTAAATTTAGCCAATATGGGGACAATTTGCACAAGGTCTGGCAGGCAGCACCCATCGCTATAATTGTTGTTGGAGTAATAATTCTTATAGTGAGCTTCTTGGGTTGTTGTGGAGCTATAAAGGAGAACGTCTGTATGCTGTATATGGTAGGTTACCCCAGTCAAGTTAAAGCTTGTAGTATGCATTCTTCCTCATTGTACTTTTGATTGCTGAGTTGGCCGCTGCCATTGTTGCAGTTGTTTACAAAGACAGGATCGACTCAGAAATCGACACGTTGATGACTGGTGCCCTGGATAAACCAACCCCAGAGATAACTGATTTCATGAATTTGATTCAATCATCAGTAAGTCATGACAGTGTATGTTAACTGTTCTAGTTCCATTGCTGTGGAGCCAAGGGCCCTCTAGATTATAAAACGAACATTCCAGCTTCATGCAAAGGAGAGAATACAGTTTATCAAGAGGTAAGTCCTAATTGTTAAGAATGCATGTTGAGTGAATACTGAGTAAGACAGTCATCGTCGTTAATATTAGCAATAAGTTAGCATGTACGTAAGCATATTTTATCGACAGATTTTTCTCTCTACAAGTCTAATTAGTGCATGTTAAGACATTTGTTTTGAACAAGTTCCTGAATGTAAAAACCCTAAGTAACTTGCAAAACATTGTTATTTCTGAAACCACATGTTATTCATAACGTGCCTTAATAAATTTGTTAATTTTTGCCAGTAGGTTCATGTCAATCTTTAAAGCTATGCAATAAGACATACGGAAACAAGCCTTGAAAACTACGCAGGACATCAAAAGCACATGTAAAAGTTATTAGCATTGAACAGTTTGTGCTTTTCAGAATTTTCAATAAAATTACAGACTGGACTCGTCGGAAGCTTGATGCGTCTTCCGGGGATTGCGTCGTCCTCGTATGTCTCCTTGATGTCAGTTTCAGTTTGGAAAAAACAGGAAGCCTGATGCCTTTATTAGTCCTAGTAATAGTGGTTTCTCAGTTGATCCAACTTTCTTTTGAAAGAGTCGACTGATGGATCCTCAACCGCGTGCTAAAGTAATCAATTCCACTTCTTGATAATTCGATGGGAAAGTCAACAGTTAACTAACGAGTAATTTGTCCCTGGTGTGTTTTCGTAAATTGTCTTTTTTGGGAGACAAGAAAAATGGGGTCATATCAAGTGCAAGTTCGTCACTAAGCAATTTTAAATTAATCATTTCTCTAGTTCTCCGATATGACAAAGGGAATATGTTTAGCTTCAAGCTCCAAATAGTCATATCACTCGGTGAGGCGAAACTATCCCTACGTTTGTAATAAGATGTATATGTACACTTAGTTGGATGGTGTTATGGGTCTTACACTTTTACGAGGTGATACTAATCAATTGTTATATATGTCTTTATACATTTTAACGGTTATTGTTTTCTTCATTTTTAGGGCTGTGTATCTGTCTTTGGAGCATTCTTAAAACGCAACCTGGTTATTGTTGCTTGTGTTGCATTTGGTGTATGCTTTTTCCAGTTGTTGAGCATCGTCATAGCTTGTTGTTTGGGTCGCCAAATAAAGGAGTATGAAAATGTGTAATCCCTGCAAAGAAAACAACATTATGTTTATCGGTTCCGTTCTGTTTCCCTTCTGGCTTTTATGAAATGATGCTTTTTTATTGCCTAGATAATTGTGCCTTGGTTAATAATCGTGTATTCGACTTCGTTTACTATATATATTAATTATACTTGAATATGATACTGTCATTCTAATTGTTTCACATTTTATCATTCTTATACATAATGAGCTGCATTGATTCCTTGGTATATACCTACCAACTGATGACAAATCATCTTCACTTTTATGGTGTCTTATAACCTTTCACGTTTATATAATTTTAAATCTTTGTTATACCTTTTGTTTTACAAACCGCTTATTTTTCCGCTACAACATTAGACGTTTCTTGTATAAATTAATTCCGTTAAGTTATCTCAGTCTTCAAATGCGTTTGGGGGGTTTCTAATAATATTCATAGCAGTAATTGTTCGAGGTTTAATCTATTCGTTCATAATTTCTTTTTATTTAAAACTGACGAAACTCCAAATAGATGAAAGCGTCATGGTATTTGTCAGTAATTATCACTTTATTGTTGACTATGTGTTTCAAATAACAAAGTATTCATGAAGATATAGTGGAATTTAAAATCAAGAGACTAGTAAATAGTAAATCCATCTGTGCTACTATCACCCAAAGACCTTAACTGTTATGGAGTTTGAACGAATCAACAGTCTGCGTCCATCACTACAATGAAGTTTCAATGAGATGCCATCAACTTCCTTCTATACATTCAAATGATATAATATCAGGGTAGAATCAAATAAAGTGCTTACTTCGTTTTGATGTAGCTGTTTTCTGGAACAATTATGTGGGGTTTTTATATTTTGTCTTATCCATCGTCGTTCCTGCTGCGTAGAATAACAGCCAGTCATGTCCTCGATCAAAGTATTTGCCAAGATAAAAATTTTCAATAACTCTGGTCATAGTGCTATGGCGACTTTACAGAAACCAAGTTTCCACGTTAACAGTAGGATTGTTGATAAGACAATCTATAATGTGGAAAACAACCCAGTCAGCTACAACTTAGCACACATGTGCATCGGTGCAAGTTGCCATACCTCATTAGCACATCAAGGTGAACACCGAATTAATAGTAGTTAATTCAATGGTTGTAATATATAGAAGACAAATTGCATATAAGGATATAGTACAGGAAGAAAAAATTAGTTCGTGAAAAGAAAGATGGGAGCAATTCTAATTTCACAGTTTAAGGGGAGATTGAGAGTGTATACACCTACGTTATTGTGATCAATCCAGGGGTATGTCACCAACAGTCTTCAATCATTTGGTTACGACAGTTACGCGGATATGGATTGTGGTTAAACTAAGGATACAGTGCAGGAGGAAAGAAAGGTACGGAGCGAGAGTGCATACAATGTGATCGATTCTGGGCCATATCACCCAGTCTCCCCAAGCACTGGTTACGATAGTCACGCAAACACGGCTCAGTCCAGAAGTTAGTGATTCCAAGCACTGATGCCACGTTTTCATTTATTTATTTAAACACAAAAATTGGTATAAGGAGGTACCAAAAAGATATGCGCCACACAAATCATTTGATTTATGTGGGGCCTGGGATCGTACTGTAACGTTTGGCCACCCTTAACTTCCAACCATACCCAACACTAGTCAGCACTGCGCGTCTTGGTGATCGATGTTCAGGCATACGCAACATGTGGATGACTCATCTCAGTCGATGAAAGTTCACAATTGATTTACCATCATTCCCTAATATCCTGTGTCTAACCTAACTATTACTTACCCGGTGATCCCAGAAGATGCGAGCAATATTTCTAAAACAACTGTGATCAAATACTAGGATCTTTTACTCTTAATGACCACGTTTTGCAACCGTAAACTAGGACAGAACAAACTGCCGTGTAGGATACTCGTCCTTTGATTTATAGTCGGATATCTCGTCTTCGTCATAGGTGAGGTAAGTTGTCAAAAGCCGAACGAGCTTTATGAATCTGTGCAGAGATTTCGTCAGATAACGACCCATTAGGGCTCAAAAAAATAACCCAGACCTAGATTGGCAGTCGTTCGAATAGACGAGGCACTGTGGTGTATGGTTCTGAGGGCTACCGTATACATTCAAGTTGCAGTCGGTGCTAGAGATAGACTTCAGTTTCTTGACCGTCTGATCACTAACTAACAAACAGCTCGCAGTTGACGTCATGCCTTCTGCTACCGAAAGTCATCTGTAAGCTCGAGAGTTCATACTTGTGGAACGTCTTAAACCGAAAATGAAATAGTTATCCAATATTTTGTGTGGCTTTGTCGATATTAACCGAACTAGGGTCAATCCTTAAAGAATATCTCCTAAGAACAAAACCGCTGTTTTTACAGGTATCAATACTAAAGTTGGACTTGATACTTTCAAATAAATTGATCATTAGGTACAGAGTTGATAATAAATAAATTTTTATATCTTAAAGAGTAGAAAAATACTTTCTGGCGTTTGGTGACTAATGTGAGCCACTTCTTCAGGATGAAATAGTAACCGAAAATAAATTAACACAGCTTTAAATAGTACGAAGGAAGCAATGGCGTGGTTTCGAAACGTCATAAATACAAATTTTCTACTCATTGAGATATAACAGTAATATATATGTATTATTAGTCCGCTCTTTTGCTGAGTGTGGTTAAATATAGACTATGGCTTAATTTAAATAACCACTGGCAGTAATTGTGTTTGGCTACATCATGTTGAGTCACAAAATATAGTAATAAGAAGTGGGGTTCGGTACATGTTTAACATTCGGATATTAAATCAGTTGACGGAACTCCAAGCAAACTAACAGTAGGTGACTTGAGCGATCCACTTTTCTTACAATTAGTTATTTGTATGGGTTTGTAGTTCCTTAAAAAAGATGGAGTGCATAACCCCAAGTCTAACAACTTACCAAATAGGTTTCCTTAGGTGAAGACGATATCATCCATATTTGTGTCAACACCATTATCCATGATATCAGTCTTTCTAGCTCCTAACCGTAAGTAGGAAATGGTGTGGGTCCTGATAGAATATTGTCTAGGTCATCATATTCACTTGGTGGTATGATAAACGGGCCAAATATAATTCAGTCCTCTCTCAGTTTGTAAATTGCTGCGCTGATCCTGTGGTAGACAATGTTTGTTCGGTTAATTTTCTAAGCTTTACTAAAGTTATAGTAAAGTTGACCGAGCGAAATTCATAATAAACTACAGAGTCCTTCGTAAGTACTCATAAATGATTGATTCTTGTTAATAACATTTGAGGAATATTGTTGATTATGATAAGAAACTTCATAGCATCTTAAAAATTGACAAACGGTCCATTGTCATATTGATTCTTCAGGTTCCAAAGTTTCTGAATTCTGGAGGTACCTGAAAAGGAAATTGGATTAGAGTTGGTCATAGTGACCTGAGAGCGTGACCGCAGTGCCCAAGGGACAGCTGCTTGAGGTCGGTCACACACGACCTTTTTATGAGTAGTTTTTGTGTTAGCTCCGTACTTGTTGAGTCATTACCGTCGGAGACGGATATCCGTGGGATAAGGCGAGGTGTGCATTTTTAAGGTCGACCTTTTCTAACCCCACCCCTCCTTGTGGGAAGGCAGCATCGCTGTCATGCTGGTTGTCTGAAGGAAACACCTTACTGCTGTCACACCTCTGTACAGTCAGCAGTATGACTTCGCCTTCGGACCTTGGTTTTGTTGCTTTTATTCTTACCGCTCTTCAACTGACCTGTCTGGCATGGTAGGACCTTAAGGAACGGTTGTTCCAGCCAGTATAGCTCAGTTGCTTCATCACGATAGGCAAGCCCGACCACCACGTCAAGGTAGCAACAACGGTCAGGAGTTTCTGAATTAGTTCATATCGTATTAGTTAAACAAGTTATTTATTATTTTATAAAACTTTTCCCATTTATAACCTTGATTAAAGAAAAAACAAATATTGTAGCAGTATAACATGAATTCATTTATTTCATGGATTCTACTTAACTACTTACAACCATAATGTTATTTATTAAAACGAAATAAATGTATATACTTTATATCAGAAACATCTAGATTAAACTTAGTTAAGATGTAGATATAGAATAATAAGTGACCATAATACAAAAGAATTGACATTATTGCCCAATCTCCTAATTTTGGGGAAGACGCTATAGTAAACTTTGGGGAAATGGCACAAAAACCCCGAAATTTCCCCAGACCTGGGGAAATTCCCCAAAATTGCTCTTTAACATTGGTCAGGGTCATTTAACTTTGGGGATTTCCCCAAAATTTACCCGAAGTTCCCAAAAATTTCCTCAAACATTGGTGAAGGTCATTTGACTTCAAATGTTTCCACAAAATACCCCAAAGTTTGCAGCTCGGATGAAACTATCGCTTATTTCTTGATTAAATATATGAATATTATATAGGAGCATGGAAACAGAATAGTTCAGTAAAACTCAAAAGTAAGAATAAAGATAGAAATTTTAACTATATTTTATGAAGATAAAGTCTTATGTAATCCTTTCTCAAAAAATAAGGTCACCGGAGTTAAAACAAGATTGATAAATGTTTCTTTTTAGACATATAAATTCGTTGTTGAAACTGTTTTATTGCAACAGCTTCGGTAATGTGTAACAGTTTGGAATTCTTTTGTTTATTTCAACATCATGTTCACTATTGAAAACCTTCTATCCCATTTAGTCTCAAGTTTTGTGGAATATATTTAGAGATGCGAACAAAAACCCTACCTATTTATGTGCTTTGGCATATATATGTAAACTGATAAACAGAATTGGATGCGCACTGCTGAGGAGTCCCATACTAGGACGAAACGGCCGTCCAGTGCTTCCAGGTTTTCCATGGTGGTCTAGCTTCAACTGATTCATGATTTCGACTATTGAAATTACCAATTCTCCACAAAACCCATTCAAGTAGTAATCATCTGCTCACTAGTGACTGACTTCAAGAGATGCTCCTGGAGTTCTAGTGAGAAGCCGTGACCAGTGGAGTTCAACCAGGTCTGTTGTGAGATATCAACTCACTGAAGACAATGGTGACGGTGGCGCAACTTCGTGGATTGGTTGAAGTTAGACATTAACACCATTGGATGCCGGCTCAGTGGTCTAGTTGGTTAAGCGCCTGGCGCGAGACTGATAGGTCCTGGGTTCGAATCCCGCGGGGAGCGGGATCGTGGATGCGCACTGCTGAGGAGTCCCATACTAGGACGAAACGGCCGTTCAGTGCTTCCAGGTTTTCCATGGTGGTCTAGCTTCAACTGATTCATGATTTCGACTATTGAAATTACCAATTCTCCACAAAACCCATTCAAGTAGTAATCATCTGCTCACTAGTGACTGACTTCAAGAGATGCTCCTGGAGTTCTAGTGAGAAGCCGTGACCAGTGGAGTTCAACCAGGTCTGTTGTGAGATATCAACTCACTGAAGACAATGGTGACGGTGGCGCAACTTCGTGGATTGGTTGAAGTTAGACATTAACACCATTGGATGCCGGCTCAGTGGTCTAGTTGGTTAAGCGC